TTGAAATTGAGAGCCAGGGCCTACTGTTTTTTTTTACTGTGGCGGGAACGAGTCGTAAGTCTCAACTAGCTCTTGTCAACGCTTTGTGACTGCCAAAATTTTGGTTGTACTTATTAAAATTTTTTAATTAAAAGTAATCATTAAAACTGCTTGCGTCTGGACAAAAATGTCTCGAATATGAATGCTTGGATTATCGCTCGAATTTTCAAATACGTTGTTTTTCTAAAACATTGATTACATTTCATTTCAAAAATATACAATTGTATTAACCTATACTATGTAATTCAAAACAAGTTTTCAATATTTGGCTTACTTTTTGTATTCCTCTAATATTTGTTCTTAAAAATTAGAAAACATTAAAAAACAAGCTTCTCCGATCACCTTTAACTATCATTATAATAAAAACTTATTTCCAAACTAGTATGTTACAATCAAATTCGTGTTAAGTATGTACAGTTTGATTAAACAGCAAATTTGCAGAAAATCTCGGTTTCAATCTATCGGTCGACTTCTACTATTACTCGTTCTCTTCTTATTTTTTTTTCCAGACAAAAAAGTAAAAGTGAAAAGTTTTTTGAAGGAAGAAAAATATGTATTTGGTAAATGTTTTGTATTTAAAGTGAAAAAAGTTCAGAAAATTTTAACCAATTGGTATTTATCTTGAAATTAGATATCTCGAGTTTCGTGTAGGACAAGTTCTTTTTTGTTATTCAAGCCTATCATTTTTAATAAGTCGCAAAATCAAGATGTCTCAGACGTTTATTCAAAATGCCAATTCTGGAACCGAGAGTTTTTGGACTCGATTTGGCTTTTACGCCCTTCTTTCTTTAAGAGTTAAATCGATAAGGTTCTGTTATATAAACACTTGACTCATTTCGGGTGAAAAACTTAGTTCACACGGCTTTATAATTATCAAAGAGGTTGCTTTTGAAAAAAAAAGCAATTTTTAAATCCTAAATTTCAGGTTCCTTAAAAAAAACAAATTTTCTGCGTTTCTTCTTATATTGCGGATATTCAGTTTTATTTCTCCCCTTTTGGAAGCTGAGCCGTATATTGGGACCCTGCTCTTGATGCAAGGTTGTCTGTATGACAAAAAAAACTTTAATAAGGTCCTCATGTATTATCGCTATACGGCTTTCAGTCTTTCTTAAGCTCAACTATATGCGAAGATTAGTGCTTTTTTGATTATTATAAAAAAAGTAATTTGGGTTTTTGTTGATTGATTGTTCTTAAAATATCAGATCTTCGAAGCAATATTGTTGAAAACTGTATGCAATTTGTTTCATTATCATTTAAAATCAGTTTGTTTTCTGTGAGCCAATCAAAAGTTTTTCTAAATCACAATAACAATTAGAAAATCATAGATACTTTGTTCGCCGTAGGCGTTTTTATCACCGCCAAAACTTGTGTTTTTCAGTAATTTACGAAAGTTAATAAGATAGTGTATAAAATTAACAAATAGTTTTGTCTCATAACAAAGCACTGGAACACTTTGAACTTAAATGTCTCGAAAGTTGAATGCTTCTAATTAAAATTGTCACATTGTGTTCTGTTTGCTGAATATGATTTGAATATCTCATCCGTTGGTTCTCGCAAACCTGACCGATAACTTTTGTAGAGTAGAATTTCCTGATCTGTCTTTTTATTGCCTTGAGCAATATGAGGTGCTTTGTTTCACGTACCTCTATATTCAGTACGTGCAATAAAAACATTATTGATTGCACTAAAACTTGGATTTTTTCAGTTCAAATTGATTTTCTAATTACCCATTCAGCTATATTTTTGCTCTATTGTGTAGGGAAGCTTCAATAATGCGTGAAGGACGTTTTGCAGCTTCGTAATTGTTCCGACTTTCGATTCGAAAGTAACGGAATATTTGTGCTCGGGGTGGGTTTTTTTTCTTCAGACAAATTTCGACTTTTTAACTAGCCATTTTTGACGGAGTTTTTTAATATCATTCGAAAGGTATTGTTGTCCTGAGCTTAAATTTGAAAAGATATTTCACCTGTGATCATTTTTCGTAAAGTTACGGGGGTTTAAAGATTGCCATTTTGGCAAATTTGGGACAATTAACGCGCGATATATTTCGCGCTATTAACGCGTAAGCGGATAGTTAAATTGTCCTAAAAATCGTTCCAAATTGGTTGAAATAAGCTTATTTGCCATAATTGATATGTTACAAGCGTGTCAGGACATTTCAGATATACACCATCCACGCTTCAGTCGAGGGAATTCTGATTCCTATTGTGTATGCATTGCTTCCAGACAAGAAAGAAGAAACGTATTTTCGCCTTTTGAGCTGCTTCGATATTGAAGTCCCTAAACGAGCCACCATTGATTTCGAACTAGCGGTCAAAAATGCGTTCAGTTCAGTATCCAAAAAAAAACAAATTCAATACTGTTATTTCCCTTTGAGCCAAAGCGTCTGGCGTCACATTCAGACTACTGGGAACACAAACAACTACAGACTAGATCTGGTATTCTGGTATTCCGAGAGCATGTCCAAATGCTGCTGAGTATCGCTTTCCTGCCTGTAAGTGATGTTTCTACTGCTTTCGAAACTCTTCAGAAGACAGGCCCTGAGACTGCCCACCCAATCTTCAATTACTTTGAGGTCAACTACGTTGGTCGGCTCTCGGCGGCAAATGGAACTCGTCAAAACCCCAGATTTGACTTTGACAGCTGGAGTTGTCATCAACGTGTAATAACCGGGCGACCCAGAACCAACAATGCTGTTGAAGATTGGAATAGCAACTTCGTCAAGCTCGTGAATGGCAAGCACCCATCATTTCCCAAACTCATAGAAAAATTTCAAGACGAACAGAAAAACGCTAAAATCTTGATCGAAAAAATGTGTGCCGGGCAAAGAGTGTCACGTTATAAAAAACCTTTTTATGTCAAACTCGACAAAAACCTTTCCGAATTAGTTGCGGCCTACGACCCAATTATTTATCTGTGTTTCCTAAAAGGGTGCAGCAGCAACATCAAACTATAATTTAAAGTCAATTTATTTTCCAAAATTGATATTGCGAAGCAAGGATTTTGAATAAATTTTTCTAAGTTGAACTTTTTTCCCAGAAAATTTCAAAATTGAGCTAGACGCGATTTGAAAACGGCAAAATGGTCAATGTAATCAAGCTTTTCCCATCCTTTTCACTTTTGGCTCAATCAAGTCAACCCATTTCAACTTTGCCCACTTTTGAGGTCTTTTATTTCAAATACTGACTAAATTAGGAAAATTTTTTGTAGAGCCCGAGATTTGAACTTCAAACCTTTTGACCTTGAGACTTATGACTTCTTCACTCGGCCAAATGCGCTTTTAAATTTCAAAATTTTCTTGAAAGTTTTGTCTCACTTTGACTGTTCTATGGTTAATTGGTACGCATAAAATCTACTTAAAGAACGATCAAACAACCTCAAAAGAAGAAAGCATTAAAGATCACAAGGTCAAATTAAAGAAATTAATTTCGCAAAACAATTTTGGAAAATTTTGTCTGGGACATAAATGTCTGGTACAATTTTATAATTTCGGACTGTTTTGCCAAGGACACAAATGTCTTGGACACAAATGTCTATGCATCGTTACAAGAAGCAAAATCTATTCTTTTGTACTTAATATGGCGTGTGGGTGGACGATTTTCATTTAAAAAATCAAATTTTAGAAACAAAATTTCATTTTTTTTATTTCATTTAATTTCTTAAATGTTATTACTGCTACATAAACATTAAAAGGCGGTCGGAACATTCAGGGCTTCGCCCTGATATGAGCAGTCTTGTATCTTTTGAAAAGACAAATATTTTATATCTAAAGTTAATTTTCTTGCTTTTGTAAGCTTAAATGCAAATTTAAATGCAAATGGAGTTGTCCTTTTCAGATTTTTTTAGCGATTTCTGGCAACCCCAATAAAGACGCGTAGAGGGTCAAGAATGATATCATGTTAGAGTTTTCGTATTCGTGATTGAGATTTTTTTAATCTGAAAAAGCTGTTTCCATTTAGGGAAAAACCTGTCTGAATATTTAAAATCCGTTTTTTTTTACGTTTTGGAAGCTTTCAGATTCAATTTGACAGTTTCTGATTTGAGGCTGATATCCAAAACAAATTATCTAGTCAAATTTAACGTTTTGTCATCTTTTACTATTGCTCATTTTTGTATTGGTTTTTTATTTCATTAAAAGACTCTGAAAAAAAATACGAGAATTTTGGACCGAAAAGTGATTCTAAAAAGATGAAAAAATATTTCAGCTTCATGATTTTTTAAATAAAGTTCCTATGTTTTGGAATTCTTTTCCTAAATTCAACGTGATCGAAACAATCTTTCCTAAATTGTTGAATAATCGATCAATTACAACCCCAATTGCGGATAGTTTGCGGTACCTGGCTTAAATGGAAAGAAATGCAACCGAATAAAACACGAAAAAAAAACTTTATCTTCTTTTGGGTATTTATTTTTTTAAACTTTTTCAAGTTTTGATAGCTTTTTGTCATCTTCTTATTACGTAAATGACCGTAAGATATCCTAAAAATTATGTAATTTCAATGTAAATTTTATTGAAATTAGTCTGAAAAGCAGAAAATCTTCGAATGTCGTTTCACGACACCGAGAAGTTTTGTTCCGATTTTAAAAACTCAAATCGTGATGCAACGAAAAGGGTTAAAATATCATACGTTGCTTGAATTACTTGGTATGTCACTCTATGTCTATGATGCTGCATCTGAATTTTCGAGGAGAAACATATCGGCACAAATCGGAAAAAAAAGACGGAAAAAACATTTTAACAAACTTGAACACTACTTAACTACAAGCCACACCACTAATGGCTCAAAATTTAAAAAAAAAACGTGAGACCTTGTTGGGTCCATCGCTCAACTCAAGCTTGTCTTCTCAATTTGGTCTATTTTTTTGAAACAAAAAATGCACAGGAAAATTTTATTACAAAAATCAAACCTAGATGTTATGAAGGTTCTTATAAGGTTTAATTTAGGGAGGAAAATCGATGATGATGGGGTATGGGTGATTCGATGTCAGGAACGTCATTTGGGTTATCAACCTTGTTGTGAACTTTTACATCTGAGTCGTGGCTTGCGATCGCATCGTGGTTGCTCCCGTAGCATTAGAAGTGTGTTCGTTCACTTTGCTTGGCTTGCAACAAGGGATCACCTTGTATAATAGTTCCAGGTACGCATCTCGGAACCCTCTGTGCGTGACACCGTAGATTATGAAGTTGCAAGATGAGTTGAAGTGAGCCCACAAATCGAGCATGATAATCGCCTCTGCGGGTAAGAATGAGAATTTAAAACATGTTCTTAAGACATAAATAAGAAACTTCAATTGTAAACATGAAAGCTATTATCATCTTTGAGGATAGTTATAGTCAGAAATACTCAAGATACACTTAATAGATTAAATTTTTTTTTGATACTTTCAATGAAGTAATATATCTGACCAACCCTAGAATTCCCCCCTAGGGTTGGGGGCTAACATTCTATGATTGATCCTTTCTTTCGTGGTCAGATTCACACCCGTCACACTTCATACTCACACTTCAAATTCACACTATCAATTTAAATAATTTTAACAGGGTTGTTCATCTAACCGAAAGGCAAGTAGGCGCCAACATCGAAAGAGAATCCTAGAAGCGCAATCAGGATTCCATATGGGAGCCAGGTGACGCAGAAGGCTACAAAGAGGGTGACGAGGGAGATCACCAGCTGCTTCTGCTCCTTCTGCCGCTTCTCGCTCGCCTTCCCAATCCCACTTGCGCCTAAAAAGAACACAAAACACCACACGGACCCACGAATATTGAGGCGCTCAATGAAGGCTCTTTTATTAAAAATCTTTCTCAAAATGTAAATTAAATTTAATTGTGTAGAAATGAATACAATGGATTTGAACATTAAATAGACTGGTTTTTTTTTAGAAAACCAAACATTTTATATACAAAAACCATCAAAAAAATGAAGTTTCTGTCATTGAAAAAGAATCTCAAAAGGTGAAATAAATTTAAGTTTGTGGAAAGTAATACCATTAGTAGTGCTTTTTTGACCTGTCAATTTAAACAAATCTCATTTTAGTCAAATTTGACTTAAGTTAATTTTCCCAAAAAAATTAAGCATTTGATTTAACGATTTAAAAAACCGTACTATTAGCCTTTCGCCAAATGCTGTAGTAGCAAAACATGATTGTGAACATGGGGACACAGAGAGCCAATACAGAGTAGAATAGAGTGTTGAACCACCAGCGAATGCTGTCAATCTTGAAGGAGCAGTGAAGGAACAGCTCCGTGAACACATGGCCCCCGAACCAAGGGTAGTTGGGCAGGTCGAGAAGGAAAACACAGATCCAGAGGAGGACTAGAGCGACCACAGTGCCTTTGAGGTCGAACAGTTTGTTGTAGATTTGGTTTTGACAGATGAACACATACCTGCGGAACAAACGATCTCAAAAAACTATGAGAGAAACCGTGATTAAAAATTAAAAAAGAGAGTCTGGGGCTACCAGATGAATTTACGATAATAATCACAAGGAACTGGGTTTTCTAGAAAAAGTTTTCTAACTTTTAACTACTCTGATTTTAGGTCATTAAAAACACTATGTAAGACTTTGTTCTGAAAAGATGTATGCGCCGCTAAAAAACTCTTTTTCTAAAACTTTCCTAAGTTAAAAAAATGCAAAGAAAATAACAAGCTTAAATAACAAGCTGTAAATTTTTTGTAACAAGGTAACAAATTTTTTGTAGAGAAAACAATAAAAATTTAGCACTTTTTGTTTAAAAAACCAAAAAATTGTAGCAACCTTTTGTAATGAAAACAAAAAAAATAAATTGTGAACAAAAAGTTTGTAACAATTTTTTCGTTAAGAAAACTAGTTACAAAAATTGGAACCTGTTCACGGCGACAAACATCATAGTCCAGAGACTGCCGAAACAACTGAGCATGCAGACGATTCCACTGACTTCACACATGACATATCTGTCCTTGAGGAATGTGTCCCCGTAGATGGCCCCGATCAGGACGAACACGTGCATGGACATCACTCCCAAGTCACATATGGCCAGGTTGATGACAAAGATTCTTCACAACTGCCACGGATGCAATCACTGAATCAAATTGAATTTACTTGATATATCATATTCGCTTGACTTGTCAAATGTATTTTGAAAATTTTTTCAGTTAAAAATTTAGATGATAGAAAAAAGTCTCCAGCGGGAAAAAAAAACAAACTCTAGGAAAATTGGTGGTAGTTTTTTCATTTTTTTCGTATCCTTTACTCGACCAAATCAAACAAAGTATTTATGAGAATTAACTGAATATCGTTTTTCTTTTAAAATACCGGCGTCAGTACCAATACTTGAAATGAAGTTTTGGAATTAGAAGTTTCATGAAGTTTTGGAATTAGAAGTTTTGGAATTAGACATGAAGTTTTGGAATTAGAATGAAGTTTCAGACAGTACAATGAAATGAAGTTTTGGAATTAGAAACAAAAATGAATTTTTTTGAAGTTTTTTACCAAGCAGGTTTCCAGGAATTCCGAGAAGGAGAGCCATGCAGAGCCAAATGATCATGAAGTATCGAGTCCGAATCATAGCAGGGTCATCTATGTCTTCCAATGGCTTCACCCATTTCTCCTTTAAGCAACTAAATCTTTAATTAACATGAAAAAATCTCCAATTATGGTCGCTTATAAACTTAAAAGACATTAGGTTAGAGACACACATGTGAGCTCAAGAGCTACTGAATTATGCAGAATGGTTGGTAAGTTTGATCTGGCAGTGGCGTGCGCAAGCAAGATATTCAGGAATGATGGTTTTTGGAAACAAAATTGTCGGTTTTTTTTAAACAGCAGTGTTTTTTCCAACTTTAAAAAAAGGGCTGTTAAAAAAAAATTGAATGAGGACAGAGTTTTGATCACAGTCTGGTTTTTTAGAAAGTTAAATCAAAAAATATATAATTGGTTACTTACATTGGCACCCAAAGAATCTTTAGAAAAATTTTTTGCTCAGCAAAAACTGGATGTAGCAAAGTAGGACTAAAAATGAACACTTTGGAAAACTTGGAAATCAGAACTCAACGGGCAAAGCCGTTCAGTGCAGTGAACTTACCCAAAAGGTCTCCTCGGATTCAGTTGTATTCATCATTATTGCAAAGGCAGATTGATTGTGACCACAGAAGAACTCGAGGGTCAAAAATTATATTTTTTCTTATTAAAAAAGCTGGAAATCCTGGTAAAAAGTTTTATAGTTTTCAATACTAGTTTTAAAAATCACACTAATTCACAATCTGTTTTTCTGCTCTGCAAAAACTGAGCGATAAATCTGCACCAGGGAGTGGCTATCTTCGTCTACTCAGCTTTGACTGTATCAAAAAATTTCGAAAAAATTTCCCACTAAACACCGTTTTCGCTTCATAGCTTTTACAGAGTGTTATTTATACCTTGCTAAATTGCGCCAGTTTGATAGTTCTAACTTTTTAACAACCAAACCAATACTTTGTTATTTAGGAATAGTTTTATTTTTCTGCAATTTTTGACCCAGGAGATTTTAGTAATAAATTTATAAATTTAATCCTACTGGTTTCGAAAACGGATCGAAACAGACTAAAACAAAATTTAGGAAGCGTTTTAGACAAAAATTATGATAATGGGATAAACATTTTGAAAAATCTATTTTCATTGGCCAAGATCTGAATTCTTTCTTTTCAAGATTTCAAAATGAAACAGTGTTCGCTATTTCAAATATTGTTTAAAATTAAACAGAATAGTTTTGTTTTTCATCTTACACAATGGAAAGTAGAAATGGTCAAGGAAACCTTTCGAAACAACCCCGCACTAGTTTTTCATGGATAATAAATGATTATATTAGGTTATGATGGTCAGTCTCCACAAAAATAACAAATATCAGTTATAATCGATTGAAAATGGTTTATAATCTTCTCTTTTTGTCAAATCAATTTAAAAAACTTTATTTTTTTAAATAAGATTATGAAAATTTTTTAAAAAACTTTCTATAATTTTCAAGCAGTGTGCAGTAATTTCACAAATTGACCGAACAGATATTTTATTAGAAAATTACAAAAACTAGACTTAATTGGTTGAGAAACTTGCTAAATGTTTTTATTTGTAAATCTGTCGAACTTTTGTTACATCCTGGGTCGCGATAACATGATAAAACGTTTTTTGCCAATTTATTCCATTATTATCGATTTCCATGAAACTCCAGAGCAGGAACTGGCAAATAAGTGTCACTTGAACAGTACAAAAAATTTCGCATAACAGCCTTGATACAATTTTGTTGCGTCAAGCATTTTTTTCAATTTTGTTCAATATACCTACAAACAATGTAACAACATTAGCCATAGTTATTCACCGCTTGTTTGCAAAAGACGCAAAATACTTGATGATTTTCAAGAAATTATAGAAGAAAAAGAAAAATTACAACCTAGCGGTTTCTAAAAAAATAATTCAAGAAAAGATTTAGGTTTTAGTGTGGGTGGGTTGAGAGTAGTTTTTTTTCATGTTAACAGAAGATTCCTTTTAAATCAAGCAATTTAGTTGCTGCTTATAATAAACTAAAAATTGACTTTCAGAGTGACAACAACTCATGTTATTTTCTTATACTAATTTTTATATTTTTTGTTCCGACCACTAAAAATGAGTTCGTGTTCTCTTAAACTTTTTGATATTCATGCAAAGTCACGTAATGGATATAGTCAAATATTAAAACTTCTCAGTGGTGATTCGAGCGACTTTAAATTTGTTTCAATAATGTCTCAAGGCGACAAAAATTTGCTGAAACTTTTTAGTTATTCTCGTTTTCTTTTCAAGAATGTACAGCTATTGAGTAAATTTCGTTATGAAAAAAAGATATACATAGGTTTAGTTTTATTAAATTAAAATTGAGTTTTGAAAATTTATTTGGGCGCTTTTTTGGTATAAAATTTTTTCAAAATAGTTTCAAAATTAATAGGAAATCTAAAAAAAAAATTGGAAAAAGAAGAGAGCGAGAAAAAATTGAACTTATCTATAACTTTCGCAGATTCTTGTAAACATGATATCAAAAAATGAAACAAATTTTTAAAAAGTTATCGATTAAAGATTCAAGCAAAAAACTTTGGTAGATTTAACTAAAAAACTAAAAAATGGTAACATGGGCTAGAATTAAAAACTTTGTTCAAAAAAGAAGCCTACATTTCATAAAAAGCTTACATTGCATAACAGTGGATTACAAAGTTTGCCAAAAAGCATTTAGGTTATGATCTGACCTAATCTCATCTCAAATTGAATTTGAACAGAATTCTTGAAGATAGTGGAATCTGCGACTTTTATGAGCAATCCTCGTTTGTTTACAAAGTAGTGAAGCAAAAGTATCATTTTAAAACTTTTTTGTATAGATTTTTCCAGATTTCAAAAACTTCTTATCTTTTGTTTATATTGAATGTGGATCAATTAGAGCGACACATATCAAAATAACCCAAATCGAACAGAAAAAAAATAATATTTATCAACATGAAAGAAAGGTTTGCGTTTGATTTTCAGGTTTTATATTATTCAATTCTTATGATTTTTTTGTTTTTCGTTTAGTAGCTAAGTAAAATATCTAGTTCATGTTTAACTTGAGTTCCTATCTGATTTCCCGTAACATGGTTGTTTCTGGAACCAGTGAGTTTTTGTTTAAGAACTATATTTCGCAGATATTTGTACACAAGATATCAAAGTACGAATCAAAACTAAACCGGAGTTTATTGACTAAAACATCAACCAAATAGTTGCAAAAAAAAAAATAGCAAAAACGTTGTAGACACAAAATATCAAATTTTGCATGCAAAGTTTTTTCTTCGTAAGATGCAGATATGATGCTTAAGCAAACTTGCAGTCAAAAAACGATTTAAAAATGTTTAATTCAATAGATCAAAAAGGTTCGCTACAAAACAAAACTTTAGATTGAACTATCTTTTTTTGAAAAATGGGTTGCTTATATGGCTAGTAAAAACTGAAATGCATAAGTTACTCACAATTTAAAGTTGGTAGCAAAAAAGGCAACAAACGTGCCGAACGCGCCGATCGCAATAATTTTTTTGGTCGCGCCGGTCGAGACATATCGGTTACGTCGTCTTCAAAGTCCTGAAACCAATTTTCGGATGTATGCGACGGTCTTGTAGCACGTAATTTTGGTCGCGACAGTCTGAAAAACCAAAAAATTGTCTCGA